ACTTCTTTTACTTTTTCTCTTTAGAAATAGTTTTTCATCATTTATATTCTTTATAATAAATATTTTTATAGTTGCCTTGTGATTTTGCATTTATAATTCCATATTGCTTTGCAGTAGAAAAATACTTAGATTATTAACAAAATTTCCTATTAGGAGATGCTCATTATGTAACGAGTGTATACAGAGATAAAGAACCCCGTTAATTATATTGGTGGTATAATGGTGAGGTTAAACCTTGAAATCCTCCGCATATGGTGAATCCTCTGTAATACAATGTCATGCAGTATTTTTTAATTTTAATGGATGATTTTTACTATAATAATGCACTAAATGCACTCAGCCGATCATTAATAAAATCCTTTCCTTCACGAATTAAATGACTTCTACATCTTCGTTTAGATCGTATGGAGGTGGACCACCATCACCACCACCACCTCCACCAAGAAGTAAAAAACTATACGGTAAACTACCGTCACATCAAACTCAATCTTCTAAATCATCATATGAAAGAAAAAGGATGATTAGAATACCAGCCAGTTTGAATAAGGAATATTTGGTAAGAAAACAATTTTATCATCAAAATAATTTACCTGTTGAACTGAAGAAATAATAGCTGCTGCTTATACTACTTCTGCTCAGCAAACAATTTATAAAAGATTAAATGATAATGACAAAAAAAGAATAGTACATTCTCAAAACTCAAGGATACATTAAAGAATTGAACAAGAAAAAAAATATATTTAACCAACATTCAAGAGGCTTTAAATACTGAAATGACTGGTATACAAGAATTAAAAGAAAAAGAGATTAAGAACTATTAACCAAAGAAATTAAGAAATATTATGAAAATGAAAATTATATTTAGCCACTAAACCTCTACTAAGTTTACTTAAGAAAGAAAATAAATTTATAAAGTTAGGAAACAAAATTAAAACCCAATTTCAGCAAGTAGAAGAATACCAACCCAAGTTAATAACTCTTTTTCCAAATGACTAAATGACCTCAAATGGCTCAAATGACATATTGTTTAATTTTAAATTCAAAATTTTATTAATTTTATCAATGAATTTACAAAATTAGGTGATTCTAAATTATCACCAAAAATACTACACAGGCTCCATTTGGTGATTGGATCATCAGCAGGATGTATAGTACAATCTACAGCTATAAATTCTAAAGGATCAGAAATATCTCTATTATCATCAATCATATTCATCCAATTCTACCCAATGTTCAGTTCTGTTAATAGAATCACCAGTTTCTTCTCCAAAGGCATATGTATCCTCTTCTCTTTCTTCAAAAGATGCTAATGTTTCATAGTCATTAGCAACAGTATATTCCCCAAAAGAATCTGAAACAAAATAGTAATTTTGATTTTTTTTTCCTCAGTCTCATGTATTATTTCTCTGATGTGTCTAATTACATCCTCTGTTTTTGACTTTTGATCACTAATATCCCTTACTCCCCAAAAATTTGTTACTTGTTTTTCTATGTACTTTGGTGGTTTGTTGTTGGTTGATTTTGCTGTTGATGATGAGGAAGAGGGTAAAAGGTCTTCCTCCTTTTCTATTTGAATATTAAGTAGATAAATAAAAATAAAAACAAAATGATGACAAGTTGCAATGCAACACAACTACCACCACCATTCTTTTTATAACTTACTAGAATGATGACAAGTTGTAATAATCGCAAACACCACAATCATTATTCTTATCATCATCGTTCAACATCCTCTTCTTATTCCTCCTCCTCCATTTACCATGGATCTTCTTCATATCCATCAGAACAACCATCACAACCATCACAACCATCACTACAACCCAATAATACATCAACTGTCAGTAGTTCTTTAAATGTTAATCACTCTCCACAAAAAACTTTATTTGAAACACCTACAAAACCTATTCAAATTCCTGTATTTGCTCCAACATATGAAGAAACTGTAATAATTTTATTTTATTTTTTTTTTTAATAGATAAATAATTATATTTTTATTTTTATTTTTACTTGATTTATTAATTATATTATTTAATAAATTAATATTTATTTAAGTGGACACATTGTAAAGTTGAAGGTCAACGATTAAGAGAAGCAGAGGTTAAATTAACGGAGAGTGTTAGAAAATCACAAATAGATCTTGATAAAGCAAGTTGGGAATTGAAGAAAGTCATTCATCAAACTGCTTTGGCAACTAGACAAATCGAAATACTTTTCTCTAACAACGAAAAAGAAGTTGAAGCTTTAAATAAATTAGCAGAAAAAGAAATTGCTGTAAACAAAGGTGAATTTAGATTAAAATAATTTTTTTGCTATTGTAATAGTTATTAAATTTTTAATTAATTTGGTATTAACTTTTTAAAAATTTTCAAGAAACCTGATAGATAATAATAATCATATATATATACATTAGGATATATCTTTAATATATTGTTACAGCAATATTTACCATCATCATATTATCATTATAA